TGTTTTTTTAGGATTACTTAAATATTTCTATTAAAGAATATTTGTAGTTTAATTATTAATATCTTTTATTAAGAATATAATTATGAATAAAGAATTAACAAAACGGAAGGATGATATTCAGTTTCAGTAGATTTTATTTTTATTTGTATTTTTGTGTCATTGATGAAATGGTAATATTTTATGAAAATAATTGAGAGATGTTATGTAAATAAGCACTTACATAAAATTGTAAGTGTAGTAATGATTTTCCTGTCTTTCTATACAGAAATAGACATAATAACACTCCAATTAGAAAAGAAAATATATATTTATTTCTATAAAATACGAAAGTTGTCTTAGTTTTACAATAATAATGTTTTAATACTACTAATTCAGAATATTAATTAAAGTTATGAATTTATGATATGTGTTTATGAGTTTCATTCCTAATTCGCTTGATTTTTTATTGGTAACTGCAAATACATCATAAATAAATGTAACAATTCAACTTAGAGTGCGAAAGAAATTTTTCCATGCATAAATAAGTAATTCTTAAATAAGTAAGATGTAATATCTAGCCAAAGATCTCCTTAGCTTTTTCTTTGGCTTTGTCGTATGTATTAGTTATTTTATCACCAACTCTTCTCCAAAAGGATGGTTGGGTTGTCATCTGTGTTATCTCTGTTGTTGTTCCTGCCATTTCTGTTGTAGTTACATATTCTTGTGTATTACGCACTGTGGATCGTGGTATTATTGCTTCTCTTGGTTTTTCTCTGATATCCCATGAATCATCACCACCAATGGGTGGTAAGGTAGCACTGGGATTCGGTCTAATTCTGATATAAAAGTCATCACTACGCGATGCATCATATGGCCCTCCGCCATACGCTTGCAAGATTCGTGACTCTGGTTTATCTCCTGTTTGTTCGGTAGTTGGTACTGATCGTTTCTCTTGTTCTAGAATTAACTGAGCCTTTTCGTTGCGTTGCAGTGGAATAACTCTTGCGGTTTGTTCGGAATCTTGATTAAATTGATCGTCAAAGTGGAACGTGTGTTGAAATGATCCTGATTGTTGATTATATTCATCATGTTCCGATGATTGAGAAATGTACGAATTTTGATGCTTATTTTCTAATCTGTCCTTATCTTGTGTTTCTTGTTGGTTAAAATCAATTGGTTTAGATTGTTGTTGTGTATCTTCTGTTTGCTGCGACATCGAGTTAACGTTATGACGGGGATAATAATTATCATGTGAACCTTCGACATTAGTTAAGTCACTTGGATGATAAGTATAATGCCACTGCAAACCTACTGTAGCATCATTTGAATTATGCACCCAATGTAAACGATCCACATTTTCCCTTTGATTGTGAAATACGCTGCTTCCTTGAGTCGAGTATACCGTCGATGTATGATGATTGGATTCAGGATATGTTGCACGACTGCCAGATTCGATAATTCTTCCACGGAAGTTTTCTATATCAGGCTCCGGGTTTACCTCAACTGGTTTAAAAACGTCATCAATAATTGTGTCTGTTGTATCTGTACGTGGCGGAATGGAATCGTGTTTCTGATATCGTGGTCTTGGTTTTGGTTTTGGTGCTGGTTTTACATTAGTTGTTATTTGATCTTGATCGGTTTGTTGAAGAAAATCTCGTTCGAAATTTGTTTTTTGTAACGCTTGTTCTAATTGCGATTGTTGCGAAAGATCGTCTGTATTCCAATCATTTTGTTGTGAATAATGTTTCAAGCGTTGTGTATTATGTTCCGGCCAGCTAGGTCTCTGCTGTTCTCTTTGTTGTCCATATTCCAAATGTCCTGTTGTTTGTTGTGAGAAATCATCGAATCCTCCAGTCTGTTGAGTTAGGTCTTCATTCTGTTGAGTGAAATCTTCCAAATGATAGTTGCTGTCTTTTGGTTGTTGCAGTTGTCCAATTTCTAGGTGTCCTATTTGTTGCATAAAATCATCAAATCCTCCCGTTTGTTGAGTAAAATCTTGATTTTGTTCATTGAATTCCTCCAGACGTTGACTTTTCGGCTTGGCAGGTTTATTTATTGATTGCGTTTGTTGACCGAATTCCAGTTTACCAACAGATTGTTGTGTAAAATCGTCCGATCTCAGTGTCTGTGCAAACTGTTCACTTTGCCGTAACGGGTCTTCTAGGTGTTGATTATCAATTTGCTGTCCGAATTCATGTTTACTTAGTTGAGTTTGTTGGGTTAAACTATCCGATCTTGCTGTTCGCTGTGTAAATTGCTCTAATTGTTGAGTGTCATCAGCTTGCTGTCCAAATATAATTTTACCACTCGTCTGTTGCGTGAAATCATCAGATCCTTGTGTCTGTTGTGTAAACTGTTGATTCTGTTGCATTAAATCTTCCAAATGCTGATTATTGTCAATGGTTTGTTGGCCATATTCAAGTTTACCACTCGTTTGTTGACTAAAACCGTCGAAGTCTTGTTGCATTAAATCTTTTAAGTGTGGATTATCGACAGTCTGCTGGCCAAATTCAAGTTGACCCTCTGTCTGTTGCGTGAATTGTTCACTTTGTTGTGTTAAATCATCCGAATGATGACTATCGACGGTTTGCTGGCCGAGTTCAAGCTTACCACTCGTTTGTTGCGTGAAATGATCAAGTCCTTGTGTCTGTTGTGTAAATTGTTCATTCTGCTGCGTTAAATCTTTTAAATGTGGATTATCGACAGTTTGTTGGCCAAATTCAAGCTGCCCCTCCGTTTGCTGCGTAAATTGTTCACTTTGCTGTGTTAAATGTTGACTATCAACGGTTTGTTGTCCGAATTCAAGTTTGCCACTCTTTTGTTGATGATCATGCCCTTGTATCTCTCGTGTAAATTGTTCATTCTGCTGCGTTAAATTTTCTAAATGCGGATTATCGACAGTTTGCTGACCAAATTCAAGTTGACCTTCCGTCTGTTGCGTGAATTGTTCGCTTTGCTGCTTCAAATTATCCAAATGCTGATTATCAACAGTTTGTTGGCCGAATTCAAGCTGACCCTCCGTCTGCTGCGTGAATTGTTCACTCTGCTGCGTTAAGTCTTTTAAGTGCGGATTATCGACAGTCTGCTGGCCAAATTCAAGTTGACCTTCCGTCTGTTGTGTGAATTGTTCGCTTTGCTGCTTTAAATCATCCAAGTGCTGATTATCAACAGTTTGCTGGCCGAGTTCAAGCTTACCACTCGTTTGTTGCGTGAAATCATCGGATCCTTGTGTCTGCTGTGTAAATTGTTCACTCTGCTGTGTCAAATCTTTCAATTGTTGAGACTCTTGACCGAACTCTTGATTTTGCTGCGTGAAATCCTCGTTTTCGATTGCTTGGTGTTCCTGAGCGTTGCCATGATAAACGTCTCGCTTGTACTTCCTATTGTATCTGGTTTCGTGTTGATATTGCTGATGAGTCTCCTCTGTGCAGTCGGCGCCATGCGCTACGTGGCCCAAGTCCAGCGACCCGGTGACGAGTTGCGCCGAGTTTGCTCTGTACGCAGAATCATGACTGCTACCGCTAGTACGTGCACGAGACTCGTATCCCTGAGCGGTATGATAACGTCCATGATGCTCGTTATATGCGTCTCGATCGTAATGCGCTCTTTCCGCGTGACCAACACCGTGTCTAGAATGATCCGCGATGGTCCGCTCTGGAGCTACGCTTCCCCCATGACTGGAAGAACTCCAGTGCTCTTCGTAGCGTCGCGTTTCGCCATGTCTGCTAGGATAAGTGGCATGACTTGAATGCGGATTATACACGCGCTGGGAATCCTGAGTGAGCAACTGATTCTGAAGCACGTTAGACTGATGTGTGCCCAAGACATCCGTTTGGCGGGTGTCGTCCAAGTGATGTCCACTCGAATGCGCATTGTGATAGCTCGTTTGAAAACTGTCTCTGGGAACTTGCAGGTAACCGAGGGATGAGTGACTCGATTGAGGCACGGGATGTACTCTGGACGTGTGGGTCTCATGACTCTGATAAGCTCTGTGGCTCTCCGTGTCATATGTATTTGCGGCCGCGGTAGGATACGAGTACGGCTGCCTTACATCGGTGAGTGTTTCTCTTTGCTGCTGATCAGTATAATGATGCACACTTCCGGTGGATGGGACGCCCCGATAGCCCAAATGTTGCCTGTAATCGTTCTCGGCAGTCTGCAAATCGTGGGTACCGACTGCTTCCTGAGTCGAACCTACGTGCGTGGTGGAGGCAGTGTGGCCGGTGCTAGAGACTTGAAAAGTCCTAAAATTGTCGAGATCTTTCTGCAAATTCCTTTGCATTTCGTTGTGTAATTGATCCAGTTTCACTGAGCTAACGCTGGTTTGAGGAACGCCCGAACTATAGCTGGATGTATAGTTTTTCTTATAATAGCGGACCTTTTTGGGCCCGGTTACGTATTGACCTTCCTCCTCGAAGACCTGTCCACGACCACCGTCGGTCCTGTAAGAATCTGCTCTGCTCCAATTATTGGGAACTGTTTCGACACGGTGCTGCGTGTCGATCGCGTGAGTGTTAGTGCCGGGAACGTGTTGATTCGCCTGCGAATATCCGTCGTATTCTCCAAAATCTTCCAGCCTCTCGCTCTTACTATCGAGTCTTGTTGACAATGATTCTGTTTGTTGACTGTGCACTCTATTATATCCAGTCTCTTTTCTGACTGTCTGTCCTAGATCATATGCGCTTTGGGAATCGAGATGTTGGTTACTTGGCACGTGTAAGGAATCATATCTGTGTTGTCCGCTCAATTCGCCTAATTCCGCTGCATTCACTCCGTGTACGTTATCTGTGCCGTAGGACGAGGTAAAATTCTTTTTGTAATACCGTACCCTTTTTGATCCTTGTACGTATTGTCCTCGTTCTTCGTGAACCTTGCCATGCCCACTGTCCGTGTTGTACTGATTATGTTCGGTCCAGTTTCCTGGTCTGATGTAATCATGATCATTTAGATGTGTCGTTCCTTGAACTAAATTCGCATGATCTTGATAACTGCCCAACGTTTGCCGAACATTCGTTTGGAGGAAGTTGCAGGTTTCTATGCAGCCACTTGGCGCTGATAATGCTTGAGCAACTAACGCGGATAATATGATTATCCGTCCTATCGCCATTCTTCCCATCCGATCTCTGTGAAATAAAAATACTTAGATATTTAAAAAAAATTATATATATTTTGTATTTTTCACTTTATAAATCCAAAACACAATATACACTTCTAGTTATTTGAACAAGAACAAATTTTTCAAATATCTTTTTTAATTCAATATTTTTTATATATTATATAATTATACAAATGTTTTTGCGAATTAACTTTTAAAAACATAAATAAATAATATAAGTGATATGAAACATTATTGATCTTTTAAATTACGAGTAAATGAATTTTAAACTTATATAAAATAATAGAAAATATACTAGAAAAATAATATATGTTGATTGATCGAAAATTTTAATTTATTTAATTTTCTGATAAATACATGAAAAATATATGGGAATCATGCGGAATGTATTTTATTAAATAGAATAAGATTTTGAGTGATGCAAATAATCTTATTGTTTGTGTTAAAGAAGAGAGATAGAAAGTTTGTACGAAAGATGTTTTAAAACGAGAGTTTTAAAACATTTTTATGATTTTATTTGATATCTTTGTAGAAAATATTTTTTACTTAAAGTATTAACATAAATTTATTTTTTTGTTTTGAGAATATCGGATTTGCTGTTCCAAGAAAGTTATGTGTGATGTAACTTATATAAACAAGTTCATCGAAGTCAGTCTTTGCGATAGATGATAAAGCGAAGATAACATATAAGCTAAATAAATCAATTTTTTGTAATAATATTGGCCGGTCTTTCTTAATTAGAACTCTTATTTTAATGTTGTAAAGATAAAACAATTTTTGTCTATATCCTTTTAAAAATACAAACTCACGATTGTAATCAATTTTTTTTTTAATTTTCTGATAAATTAGTATATGAAAAATATATGTGGATTGAATTATGCGGAATATGTTTTATAAAATAAAATAAAATATTTTAAGAGTGACGCAAGTGATCTTATTGTTTGCATTAAAGGAGGGATAGAAAGTTTAAATACACACAAAACTCGATAAACTTCATATTAATATATATAATATTATAGGCATAAAAATGAATTGAAATCCTTTTGCAAATTATTTATGCTTAAACCTATTTGCAAAGTTTTAACACATGAAGTTGCTGCAGCAATCGACTCATCGCGTGTAAACCTCACAGAGCTGTAGTTTTGTAAAAATTACGGATGATCTAATTGACATATATTTAACTGAATCAAACATTATGTTTTGTAAGCTTTCGGAAGTAGAGTGCTCTTTATTGATTTAAAATATAAATGAATAATAGTATACAGTATTAAGTACCGAGTTTTCATGCATTTAAACTTTTCCATCCCTCTTGAATTAAAAGGTACTTTCATCATAACACAAAAAATAGCAAGAAGAATACAAATCTGTATATTTTTTTTTAATGATTAATTGCCTTCTACTTTATTGAATTTAATACTCGTAGCATATTTCAAATTTCGCATTCACTGACAAGACACAACCTTTATTTATACACTTAAATCACGTTAGAAAAATAATATCATATTTAATTACCTTATAATGGAAAATCGAACACTTATAATTCAATTATATGCAGAGATGTTTTCACTAACACTGTAGGCTTACATATAACAGAAGAAGATTACCGCAAATCCATTTATGTTCTTTCCCCCTTCTTCTTACCGATGATTCTCGGATCGTTCTTTTTCACTTTTACACATATTAGCGGTCTTTCCTTTTTATCCATTACAGTTTAGATTCGTTCTTATCGCACACAATTCTCAGCAATATATAAGATTGAGTTTCCCATCATTGACGTAAGTGTTAGTAACAAATATTCTTATATTAATTTATTTTCGATGTATTCTCGTTATAAATCCTTATTATAGAATTGAAGTTATGAATCTTATTAGTTCTTTAGATCTCTTTTAAGCTGAACAATTTTTTTTCATAACGTATCTTTTATGATAGAAAAACATTCCTTAATGTCAGAATTATAAACAATAGCAAATTATATATTAAATAAAGTGTCTTAAAACCACAAATATAAATATACAATGAAAGCCTGGTCTAAGTTTTTTTTTGGAGTTTAGTACTTGAATTAGAAAAACATTCTTTATACGTAAGAATAAATGATACAAGATTATACATTCTTATAAATTTTATTCATAATGATACATTAAAATTAATGATATAGAAAAATTTAGTGCATAAAATAACTTTTTTTGTAAAAAAATAAGTCTTTATTATTGTTTTTTAAAAGAATATTATTAGAATTGAAAATAATGAATAAAGATAATTATCTCACTTTACTTATAATTGTAAATTGATCACGTTTAAATATAACACTTGAAAAGTATATTATTATAGTTCGTTAATCTTCATTATCTGTCATTAATCTTATATCCTGTTTGATTAAAGTTGTACTACAACATCTCGACAGATGAATGCATGATGCATTGTCTGCTCATATATACGTATGTGTATGGCAAAGGACATAACTCAACGACTTCCAGGTAGCCGCGACAAGTGGTTTTCCATATTTCCATATTTGATTTGATGTGTCATTGGTTAAGTCATTCTGAATTTGTAACGATGACCAGACTCACTTTCATTCAGTGATGCCAGGAGCAATTTCAAGGTCTCCGTTACGTAAAGGTCGCGGTACCTCGAATAACTATTTGTATTCCGTGCTTGCACTTCATCAGAATAAAACGGTGATGGATTCTATAAATAAAGACATCCAGAAAACAGATTACAAAGAATAAAAAAACCGTGGCCCACTTTGTTACAGAAATTACTGACCTTCCTAGAATATGAACTCTGATCTTTTATCATGCTAAGAATGAATGATATTTCCACGATGTGGACCACTTCGTGACCTCAATATATGGGTATCATTGAAACTGTTGGGATTCCCCATCGATGAAAGTACACATCTAAACATATTCGTACATATTCTCATTAAGATTTACGTTAAATCAAAGCTAGTTTATTTTTATGAAATTTTATTCAATGAATGTTATTGTATTTCTTATTCTTTTTCTTCATCTCTCTTATTTGGGGATCGCATAACGATTTATTATATCGAGAATTTGTTCAAAAAAATATTTATAACAAGAATAGTTATTAAGATTTTTATATAAGAATATATATAAATTATTTAAAATTTATTTACTTTATCTTGATAATACATTTTATGCTATTTTTATATATTGAGAGCTTTCCACTTAGAACATTTTGTCTCATAATATTGTCAATAGTCAATATTTTTGAGTAAAGTGAAACATTTATTTGTATTGTTCGCGTTGAGCTAATATATTTCTTTAAATTTCAAATTTCCATAAAATCACACGCATCAGAGTTGTGACGACCTGTGATACTCTGACCCCTTGATAGGCATTGACCTACAGATACGTTAGTAAGGTTTTTAATTTCTGAGAAATATAAAATATATGATGGTATTATTCACAAACAGTGTATAATTACGAATAATTGTAAAAAATGTCTAAGAAATTTCTAGTAAATGGAAACATGCGTATGATGTAATTGATAACAAAATAATAAAATAGCAGCAAATTACAAAGTAACAACAAGATAAAAGTCAAAACAAAGCATATCATGTTAAACATTAAATATCTTTCCAACAAAATTTTTTTGTTTACAATAAAAAACTCTTTTATTATAAATATCTTCAAGTATCTCTGAATTTATTATGTAATTATTATACTACATTTCTTAAAAATTACTTGACATATTTTTGTATATAAAATTGAGGAATATATAATTGTTACATATCAAAGGAAATGTAACTAATTTTAATAATATTGAAATTACAATCGAGAGATATTGTTTAAAAAATTATATGCTTATCGCTCTCTGGAACGGCAACGTTACGCAAAGAGATCAAGGATAAATTTAAATGACAATTTATACGTAAAATTTAACACATAACTAGTGACGTATTATGTGCTCTTGATTCATTATATACATCGTTTTTAAAGTATTTCTTTAAATGTTGGAGATAATTTAATAAAAGCACAGTGTTTCAATAATATCAGGCTTCATGTTTCTGCATTTCGCAATAGAGATTACACATGTGTATTGCACAGTAGAAATTCATGGAAACTATTGACTTGATATCAACAAGTTGACGCATAATAATTTTATATTTCAGAAACTTGATACCACGATACGGTTCTTCAATAGATCAGATTATTATACGGTACATGGAAGCGATGCTCTTTTTGCCGCACAGGAAATATTTAAAACAACGTCCGTTTGTAAAGTGATTGGAGCTGGTAAACATTAATTGAATAATTATAAAGAGAAATTGAATAATTTTTTCAATACTTATATCAAAGGGTAGTGATTATTAGATTTTTTAAAAGAATACATTAAAAAAAAATAGAAGTGATTATATCCAATGAAACAAAAATCATGTTTCTAATTTAAAATATTATAATTTTTATGTACTCAGATCTCTATATTTTCTACTTGTATTCATGCATGTTTTAATATGTTTAGAAAGTAGAATTAATACTTTTTAACACTATTAATATGATAAATGTATTGTATGTGTTTGATTCTTTATAATATTTTTACTTAATTGAAAGAGTGTTATCTGAGTTTTAAAGTGCAATTTATAACATCAGTAACTAATGTTTTTTTTTTACAGAGCCGCATAAAACGGAAGGAGTCATTCTTAATAAAAGTCATTTCGAAACGTTTGTGCGCGACTTACTATTAGTAAAACAATACAGAGTTGAAGTTTATATTAATCAAGGCTCGTCTAAAAATCAGAACTGGATCTTGGAGTACAAAGGTTCGCCCGGTAATCTATCTCATTTCGAAGATATTTTGTTCAGCAATAATGACATTGCTGTGGGTGTATCCGTAATAGCTGTGAAATTGGGTACAGAAGGAAAGTCTAGAGTGAGCATGATAAAATATACATTCTCGCTAAAATGTTGTACAAGAGTTCTGTTATAATTTATAATTTATATATTTTATAGGTTGTCGGTTTAAGTTGTGTAGAAGTCGTTTCAACTTTAATTTCAGTGATTGAATTTCAAGATAATGAATCATTTTCGAATCTAGAATCGCTCATTGTAACTCTCGCTCCCAAAGAATGTTTATTAATTCATGGTGAGGGCAGTTTTGAGTTTCAAACTCTTAAGCAAGTACGTATAACATCAGAATATAAAGTAATACATTTTTTAAATATAGATTATACATATTTTACTAAAATATTTTAGTACATTTAATATTACAATTTTGCATTTATTTTTCCAGCTAATGGAAAGAAGTAATGTGATGGTTACTTTACGAAAGAAAAATGAATTTGCTAGTGACTCGATCGTAGATGATTTAAACAAATTGATAAAATTTAAAAAAGGACAAAAACAAAATGCGCAATCGTTGCCTGAAGTCAACTTAAATTTAGCTATGTCTGCAACATCTGCTCTCATTAAATATTTAGATGTAAATGTTTTCATAGTTTTATTTGCAATAATACGACATAGGATGTCGCATCTTTACTTTATCAAATCTTGATATGTTCGTTAATTTGACAATTTTTTTTTATAATGAAAACAAAATTAACAAATATAGTGTATAAAATTTGATAATTAAAAACTTTGCATATATA